GGTGTCGCGCTGCGGGAGGGTAAAGGCTGGGCAGACTCACAGCTGGACCTTCTCAGGGTCTCTCAAAGCCGGGCTGACTCAGTCCATACCCGCAGAAGCCACAGGGAACACCAGGGAACACCAGGGAACTGTTTTGCTCACAGCTCTCAGGCTTGGAGCCGCCTGGGAACCACCACCAAAGGCACCCACAAACCTTCGGTGCAGGGTTTCTAAAGCTGAGAGCTCTTTGAAGCCCCTGAAACCACTCACAGTGCAGCCAACTTCTGCCTCATGTTCCGGCCCTGTCCCTGCTCCAAAATTAGCATCTTTTACAAGTCTCCCCTTTAGAGATGGTTTGTTCACAGACCCATGCTTCCGAATCAGACCGGCACAGGATCTCGTACCTCCGTACTGCTCTGCACAGCAGGCTGGTACGTGCGGCTCTTACCTACCGAGGACATGTCTCTGCCCTAACACCCAGCAACGCCAGATGAAGGGTAAGAGTAAGGAAATTAGAGCGCAGCAGAGACGGTCATTAACACACACGGAGGCAGCTGTGAAACGCTCATCTGTAGCGCCATGGCACGTGCTCTGCAGCTGGCATACAGCTGTACTAGAAGAGTGATTCTGGTCAAAAAAAAAAGAGATGTGTGTTCACAGTAGCATCTTTGGAGTTGCCCCTCAAAAATCTAAGTGTATATGTTTCAGGGAATATGGAGGTGCGATATGCAGAAAATGTAAGTACAAGGGAACATGCAGCAGATCCAGGAGACCATCTCCACGGCTGGCCATGCCAGTACCCTTGTTTAGCTGTTCATTACCTCCTCCAGAAGCCTCCCAGCTTGCACACACTGATGCTGCCCTTCCTGCAGACATGGTAGTTTCATCTCCTGCAATTTTGTAATTCTTTGAGATGCTTTAAAGACCACTCTACCTACTTCTTCACAACAAACAGGTGGTCTCTGCAAAACCCCTTATGACTTGCTACACACCCTCCCCACAATGCTTCAAGTCTGGTCACCTCTCCTGTAGCTCTTCCGTGGAGTAGCTCAAGTGTCTTGTCTTGCCCACAGCACTGCTCCTGGAGGCAGGGCCAGTTCTCCCTGCGTCCCAACACCTGGCAGCAGCATCTGTGCCCAGGAGCTTCCACCCGTGTGCCAGGACTGCCCACCCAGCTGGCACACGGACCAAGCCCTGCGGCTCTGCCCCATTGCCGCTGGCCAGTCCGTGCTGTCTGGAGCAGTTTCGGGGCCCCTTTCGCAGCCCTGCCACACTCACCACTGAAGTCTGTTGGCTGCGCTCCTGCTAACCAGCCGAGGAGGCTGCTCCTGCAGTAGGAGAGGAGCTGAACCTCTCGCAGAAGCAGTGAGCTGGCATTTCTGTGGAGCCTCCACCTTTGCCTGTCTGCCATGTAGTGTTTTTAGGCTGGCTCACAGTGACCTAGAGCTTTTATAACAACACGGTATTAATTTTTCAAAGACTGCATGTTTTAGGAGCAGCACATTAGAAAACAGTGCTGTTGCAGCTCAATACCTATACAAAAGTAGCAGCATAGCATGGTGGAACTGCTGCCCCGGTCTACCCAGGAGAACTAAAATTACCAAATTCTTGCTGCTTCAAGACTACCGATTTGCACTTCAAAGAACTGAGTCAAAACTTATTAGAATAAACTTTTATTTACTGCTCTCAGGATCCTTGTTTTAAAGTATGCAACAAAACCTGCTACATTCAAATCTATACAGATTTACTGATATATCTTTCATGTTTTACAAAACTGCATATAGATTTTGGAAATTTGTATAAGTTACCTTATTTACATGTAATATTCTCAGCTCTAATGACCTAGCCAAAGAATAAAACAAAGTGGGATTTTAAATATCCCGTAAGACCCATTACATTTGTTACATAACTTACATGTCTTTATAGAGAGATGTGCTACACTTCCTTCTTGCATATTTATAAAGACTGTGACTAATGCTGGCCAAAGCTAGATACTGTCATTTCCTCAGATCACACTGGTAACAAAATGTTAATATTAGAGCAAGTCAGGTATATAAACCATGTTTTTCTTTTAGAACCAACTGTGCTAATCATTTTAACCAGCACTTGCTCAAAAAAAGAAGTGTTAACATTAATACAAAAAATACCCACATTTACAAAAGAAATCAAACTAATATTTATATGACAAGTTGATCTACAATAAATTGCACATAGTTGGTTATGACTTTGGTTATACTGCATTAACAAATTTGGTTTCTAGACTAACAGTGGAGGGAAAAAAAAAATATAAAAATGCAGCTATAGAAACTAGCATAACCTGTAAACATATTACAGAACCAAATTCTGCACCTGGTTACATGTGCATAATTCTCATGCAGTTCAGAGAAGTTTGCACAGATCAGACCACTGAATTTGGCCCAGAAAACCCTGTAAACATGTTCTTTATTGTTATGTAGTGCAATACTGCAAGAATGGATAATAAAGGCCTCCAGCTACCAGTAACTAATACTGAGTGATATCCATACAAATTTCACTTTTAAGATTAACTTGTTGCAAAAGGCTGAATTGAAAATATTATCCATCTTTGAACTACAAATTTATCAAAAGAAGTAATGAACACTCAATAAACCAATGAAAGTATACAAATTCAGACAAAAAATGGATATAATTTCTCATTGCAATTCAGAACTATGCTGCTTTTCTGGTTTATATAAAAATCCTGGGTTTGTTACACTTTTTTAACAAAAGCAAGTTAGAAACAGAAATATATCAAATAAAACGTGTAAGCAAATCAATGTTCTGCAAACTGTGGCTGATAATGCAAATAAATCTTTTCCAATGTTTTACCTAATACGCTGAATCATAAGGTGCTTTGGACAGATCTGTAGCAAACAGCCTGAAGCAGCACACATTACGATATTGCATGACATGAAGTTTGTTGGTTTTGCTGTGTTTCGTTTTTTAAAAAGTTTCACAATTTCAGTTGTTCCTCTTAAAGCAGCAATTCAAATTTACACCCTCTGCAAAGATATCTTCACAGTTTTACTTCAGTAGTTTACTGCAGGACAGTCCGTCAAATACTGTAGAAGAGGCAACCACTTAAAAACACTTTAGTTTTTTACTTACTTGGCACTGGCCCACCCAATGTGTATTACTGTAGTTATTAGCAAAGTACACAAAACTGTGGAAATGGCAAAACACATTTTCAAAAGTTAGTGAGCTTTTAATACTTACTTATTTTACAAGTGATAATAGCCATGTGACTAGATACAATGGCAGTCCCTGGAAAATTCAAATTTGTTTGTAAACCCTTAAAATGAAATTGCAGCACTGGACCAATATAATTTATGTCTGTGTCTTAATCAACCCCATCAAAACCCTGAGTATTTTCAATCGCTAGAAGAAGTTTATCCCATAAATCTTCAAACGAGTCATATGGAGGCAAATCCAAGCGATTAAAGCTGAAAAACAGATGAAAACTCTTCAGTATTTTATCACTCTTACTGAAGGTCATAATTTACCTAAATTAAATACTCACCAGGTGTGAGCTCTTGGCAGTTTTTCAGGGGTTCCCCACTGTTCAACTGTAAACAACTGCGGTCCATTTGAACCTGCAGGAAAAAATACATTAATTTTCACCCCATCACAAGATTCTTTTATATTTATAAATTCAGACTATGACATATTTTTGGAGTTTTGTAATCTGATTCTCAATTCACTTGCATTTTTCATTGTTTCTTGCTATATTTTAATTTCAAGGAACTTCTAGACCTTAAGCTCAGAAGTCTGAGACCTAAATACTTATGCATCATGCATAACACCTGGCACTGAAGATTTTATGCACAAGACAATTTGGCATGTAAAAATTTAGACACGTTGATCACAATGTGGCAAGTTACATAACCTGGCAGAAAGTATTTAATGTCCACCTTTACCTATGCAGTAACACAGCAGAGTAACTGAGAACTTCTTGAAACGCAGTCACCATAAGCACACTGCAGGGACGTACTTATGCACCTGAGAGAGCTTCTCTGGCTAGCAAGCGCAGCTCCAGCTACACCCGTGCCTTCAGCAACTGTCTCACGGCATGTCCTATCTGAAAGTTTCTTGGACCTCTCACACACAGAATGTCAGGGGTTGGAAGGGACCTCAAAAGATGTAGTCCAACCTCCCTGCCAGAGCAGGATCACCTACAGTAGGTCACGCAGGAACGTGTGCAGGCAGGTTTTGAATGTCTCCAGAGAAGGAGACTCCACAACCTCCCTGGGCAGCCTGTGCCAGGGCTCTGTCAACCTCACAGCGAAAAAGTTTTTTTCTAATGTTTTTGTGGAACCTCCTATGTTCCCGCTTGTATCCATTGCCCCTTGTCCTATCATTGGATATCAGTGAAAAGAGCCTGGCTCCATCCTCAGTTCTTGCCAAGTGGATGCAAAGGGCATTTTGTAACCTTTCTTTAAGATAAGTGGTGCCCAGTAATAGAACAGGAAGTTAACGGGTTTAAGTTAGAACACAGGAAGTTCCATCTCAACATGAGGAGAAATTTCTTTACTGTAAGGGTGACAGAGCACTGGCACAGGCTGCCCAAGGGAGGCTGTGGAGTCTCCTTCTCTGGAGACATTTGAAACCCACCGGAGACACTCAAAACCCGCCTGGACACGTTCCCTGTGTGGCTGCCCTAGGGGATCCTGCTCTGGCAGGGGCATTGGACTAGATGATCCTTCAAGGTCTCTTCCAACCTGTAACATTCTATGATTCTACGCTGAAAGCATCTATGTATGGAAAAAGCTGTGTAGTTAAAAAAAAAAAAAAAATTAAAAATCTCTATCTTATCAGAGAACAGTAGATGACCTCTGACAGTGGGCATCCTCTAACTATTTTACAAGGAGCCCACCACTACAGTGACAGACCTGTATTCCAAGGCAGATGGCTACCCAAGCACGAGGAGCATTCTGCTTCTCAAATGGAAGATGTGAAACATGTCAGATGAAAACTAAGCAGCAGCAATGAGAACAAGCTGATCTGCAAATACAGCTGAGGTGTAAGTGCTGTGTAGAGTACAGTTAGATATAGGAAATTAATTTGGTTTTATAATGCAGGCAGACACCTTCCCTTTTTTCATGACTCCTCCAAAATGTTTTTTTTATACAAGCCTAGCGAATAAACTAGGCAGATGGGCACTTCCATCCTAAAATATTATTAGTGAGTCAGATGTGTCAGTAGTCGTAGGAACACATCCAGCTCCTCCTCTGTATTTACTTCTTTGGGCTACGTGCTTATTCAACACAGAAGGCTGGTTAGCAAAGCTAACTAGTAAGCACAACTGGAACAAGGATGAATCAGAGAAGTAGCTCCGTGACTGACAGGGCATTCTACCACATGACAAGAAGATAATTAAAGTCCCTTTTATTAGCTGGTAACAGTAAGTCCGCATTCTAGCTATCCAACTAATTAACTAGAGGCTGACAAAGAAGGGTGGGGGGAAGACGCGAAATATAAGAAAGCTACATCTGTTTGGTGTCCTAGTTCTCAAACCTAGATGGGATTTGCTCCCGGACATCAAGTGTTCCCTTCCCATGAGCAGAAATGCCTCTTTGGGCCACGGGAGGGAGATCTCCCGCTAAGAAGCCTGCTCTAGGACTGCGGCCAGAGCCGGGACCGGCACCACCTCGGGGCAGCCAGGCAGCAGCAGAAAGCCGTGCACCAACACGGAGCACTGAAGGACCACCTACAGATCGTCAAATACAAGCAGGTACTGGAAATGTGATTGTGATCGTTACTGGGGTTTAGTGAGGACAGCTTACCGGCCACAACAAAGCAGAAATAACTCTAAGAGAAAAAGAAAGTACTGTGCAAGACAACTGCTAATAGATTTTTTCATTAATGAGCAAACAGACCTACAGAAACTGGGACTTGGCTAGAAGACTGTCAAGGATATCCAGATCCCTGGGGTAGAAGGGAGACGAGAGTTTCAATGGTTTCCTTCCTTATATTAGTTCTATCCCTGGTACTATTTTTTAACAAATAAACAAAAGTCCATAGGCAACAGAATTCTGACAGGGTTCCACCACAATGAGCATGTGTCTCACTCCAGCAATACTAAGGCTCAGGTGCAACAGCATACAACACGGCTCAAGCCCACTGGGGGCACTGCCCTTCCCACTGGAACTCACAACACATTCACTGATGGAATGGAAAAAATAAACTGACTACATATGATGAAAATGCAGAGAAAGAAAAAATGATGACACTTGGTGGGTGGTATTTGTTCACAATTCCAGAGCTTTATAAACAAAGAAGGAAATGTTTATTCAGATATGCAACTTAGGCTATTCAGTCATTTGCACAGGGTCTCATACACTTTTAGCCTTAATAAAGTAGTCCCACAGAAAATAAAACAGCTGATGGCAGATGAAAACAGACTTCCCATAAGCAAAACACCTCTGCCTTTTGTGGCTGTCTAACTGCTTGCCCACGGTCTTTCCACAGTGGGTTTTCTGACTTTGGTATCTGCTGCCATCTGCTTGTTTCAGTCCCTGCATTGAAGGCTTACTTCATTGGCATTATGTTTAACTTGGGTCATTTCAGTGGTCCTCTTCAGAGTATATCCTTAAAAAAAATTGTATCTGTACTACTGTGGCTTGTGAGCAGACAGAAGCAGCTGGGGAACTTCGGGAGAATCTGAAGTTAACTGCTGATGCCAGCATGTCTTTGTAATCAGATTTTAAATAACTGAGACTTTTCTTCCAGCTCAATCACATGTTAAATAGGGATTTTTTCATTTGGTAAGTCTTATACATTAAAACTTCAAAAACCAGAATTAAAGCGAAGTATTTAAAGAACATGGGAAACATGTGATAAAGTGACTCTAACTTTGCTTCTTATAGCTGTCAGTATAAACTAATTTTTAAAGCAAAATCTGAAAAATAAGGTGCTTGTATGAAGCCAAATATCATGACAATGTCAATATCGCAGTCTCTGTTACTCAGTTGTGAACATAAGTACTCACCATACAGCTCAGCAAACCCATTCATAGGTACGCGTGATGTGCCAGTAACAAATTGAAGCAATCTTATTCTCTTTTCAGAGTCCATCATTAAGACTGCCTATGTATGATAATTACTACAGTTAAACATTTATTTTTAAATTAAGGTTTTAAGCAGCAGATTTATGCAATATAGTTTCCATCTCTAAACTATTATCCTTGATATATATGCATTTTTGTCAGTGATACACATAGTCTAATTCTCTGCCTATTGCTAAAAGCTGTGAAGTCAACAATTTTTTAACGACACTGTAACAAGAGTATGGTGACTGGCCTAGCAGGCTGTTGAAGTACTTCCCTTAAAGACTTAGCCCCTACTTTCTTTGAAGTTTCTTGGTGTTATGAACTAGCAGCCAAATTCCTGTAATTTATTAAACAGAAGAGTTTAACACCTCTTTAGTGTAACTGTGCCAGAGAAATCTACACAGAAATATTTTTAACCCCAGTCAGACATGGATTTTTTTAAAAAGCAAGTATCAATGGAGTATTTACATTCTTACCATGCATCTCATCTTTAGTTTTCTTACTATCATTTGTAGGAGTTTTAATGGTCAAATATTTACCCACCTATTGATGAATCACACGATAAACTAGCATAGCTGAAAGACAGCAGCTTTTAAACAGGCTTTAAGTAAAAAAACAAAAAAAACAACAAACAACCTCCCCCCAAAAAAACTAGAACTTCAAAATACCTTCCAGAACCACTGTATTACTTGATGGTTTATGTTGTAGCCATTTTTGTATTTTGTATGTAGTTTCCAATCAGCCACATCCACATCTCCCAGTCCACACATTAATAACTACACAGGTCAAAAAAAACAAACAACAAAACACACAACAAAGTTTAAGTCAGTAACATTAAGTTTCAATGTAATTTGTTTTCTTTTAGATTATACACTTACCTCTAGCTCATTTTCATCAAAAATTTTAATCAGATCCTGTGGTATTAGTTCAAAAAAGCCCTAAAAAGATGAGAGAAGTTTCTTAAAAACCAGTCAATATTATTTAAGCATTTTTGTTCACTGAGAACAATATTGAGATGCTTTAGTAGACAAAGCCAAAGCTATACATCAAGTACAGGTGTCTGGACACCAGCAGACCCCATTTTGGTTACAGTACTGTTAATTCTGACTTATCTCACATCTTTATTACTCAATAAAAAATGCTGAATATGTAAGTCTGAGTATAATATACATAATATCATTTATACAAACAGGGGTAAACTGGCTAGTCTATTTCAATTCTGCTAGTTTGATTTAAATTTCATTTCTGCAGAGTTCATTAAATAGATTGCACTACAGCTAAAGCTGTAGCCAGGAATGAGAAATAAGTGAATTTTAATATGAATTAAACACTTGGCTAAAAACATACCTAGAAGATTTTAAAGTCTGAAATAATTCAAAGCTGACACCACAAACTACATCACTGCCTTTTTTACACCTGTAACAACATTATCTGTGGGTCTTCAGGATGTCCAAAGCAGCTCTTCTTAGGATTCGATGCAACAAATTCTTACAAGTTCTTTTGAAAGAAGACTATACCTCTTTAAAGGCTGCCATTTGTTTCTGTACTCTGCTCACAAACCTCCACTGAATCACGAGACTGTAAAAAGACAAACCAAAAGCATTTAAAAGTAATTTATATACAAAGCAACAACTTCCTTTTGTTAATACAACTGACACAGCCCCTGTTACCAGAAGCACAGTCCAGCAAGATACACAGTGATCACCACTTACTGAATGTAGTCTCTCTTGTTCTTGTTGGTGACAACTATTTCGGATCCACCACTTTTCAGTTCATGTTGATGGGTCTAAATGCAATACATGGAATATGAATGTAACGGAATTCTTAATATTAGTTAATTTAGCTGACTCTTAAAGACAGAAGAATTTTAGAACTATGAGAAACAGAATCAGTTTCACAGGTCACCTGAATAAACAGGATCTGGCTGCTGGATTTAAAAAAAAAAAAATTGTAGTCAGGGATGCCAGACTGCAATGAGGCAACCTTCATTTTTTTCTGACCTGCTGTAACAGATCACCTAAGTTTGCACACAAGTTCGCAGTAATGTGGCCTTCACTACCTACATATTCAATGGCCTGGCTTTTTTTTTTTCAAAATCTCAAGGAAAAACACTTACAGAACCATTTCAGCAATGGTCTCTGTAAATAAGTGCATCAATATATATATCTGTTACATAATGATTTATGCTACTAGAACTTTGGTAGACAAATACCTGATTTTCAGTTCATTACGGATGTACATTTTCACATTCCTATTTAAGACCACTTAGGTTACACAAGACTGCAAAGACTATTATCCTACTTAGATCTAGATGACATCTGTAAGTGAACTCAGTCTCATGACTGAGAATTAAAGGTTTTTCTTAATGCTGTACATATAAAATCAACTAATTTCACAGGTCAGATGTTTTCATCTTTTGTCTGTTCTACTTTACATAAACATACTAACCTGACCAAAAAGCTCTTCATCAACTATAAATCTGAGGTCCAGTTCTGCTGGATCATTTTCAAGAATCCATCTCAGAGAATTGTAATATTCACTATCCTAAGAGAGAGAATTACAAAATAATAAATACAAAATAAAGTAGCCATCTTTAAAGTGAAAAAAGGCCCCATTACAGCCCAGTGAATGCTGCTACCAAGGATAAACCTGTATTGGATACAGAGACTCTGCAACTCTACAGAGTTACAAAGACCTTTAAGGACATTTGAAGCCTGAAGACCCAGAAATTTCAGGACTAAAAAGGTCTCACATAGCAAAACAGTGATACAACGTCTCAGAATTATCTTAACCAATGTATTTTGGATGTTCCTCTGTTTCATATCCTATATTTATCTTCCCTTTATTGTTAGGCATTACTACAAAGAGCCTTAGGAAATTAAAATTAAGATAAAGCCAAATGTATCCTGAGCTGCATCAAAAGAAGTGCAGCCAGGAGGTCAAGGGTGGTGCTTTTCCCTACTACTCAACCCTCTTGAGACTCCACCTGGAGTACGGTGTTCAGCCCTGGGGTCCCCAGAGTAAGAAAGACACAGACCGGCTGGAGCAGGTTCCAAGGAGGAGCACCCGTCCTATGAAGACAGGCTGAGAGGGCTGTTTAGCCTAGAGAAGAGAAGGCTCCAGCAAGACCATACAGCAGCCTTCCAGTACTTAAAGTGAGAGGGACTCTTTGCCAGGGAGCGTAGTGATAGGATACAGGGTAACAACTTTAAACTGAAAGAGGGTAGATTTAGAGTACATATTAGGAAGAGAATCTTTTGTGTGAGGGTGGTGAGGCACTGGAACAGGTTGCCCAGAGAGGCTGTGGCTGCCCCATCCCTGGAAGCACTCCAGGCCAGGTTGGACGGGGCTTTGAGCAACCTGGACTAGGGGGAGGTGGCCTCGCCCACAGCAGTGTGTTGGAACTAGGTGGTCACTTCCAACCCAAACCACTCTATCATTCTATAGTACCAAAAAACCAAAAAAAGTCAGGTCAAATCCATATATCTATTACTTAGAAATAGATAGGAACTATATTCTGTATTCTTATATGACAATGAGACCACTAATAGATTAAACACAATGAATAAAAATCATTCTGCCCACAACTACTCTAGATAAAAATTATTACCAGGGAAACAAACAAACAAGAAAATTTTAAGGACTCCATTTTCCTCTAAACATGTTAAATTGTATGACTTGCTGTTATTTTATGTCTCTGAAAATATAGGTTGAGTGCATTTTTAAAAATGAAAAGACACTAATTTAAAAAACAGCTTGAGACAGGGATCCCAAATATGTTTATATTTGATGTTAAGAACCTTGGTGTCTAAAAATACTTCAAGAAAACATCACAGAGGTGTCTAAAAATACTTCGAGAAAACATCATAGGAAGTTTTCAATACAGCTTTACTGACTTAAGCCACAGTATAGGTGTCTCTAATTTTCATTGGAAGTTTTAATTCCTGTACAAGTTACAGACTATGAGTTGGGTGGGGTAGAGTTAATTTTCTTCACAGTAGCTAGAAGGGGGCTGTGTTTTGGATTTGTGTTGGTAATAGGGGATGTTTTAGTTAGTGCTGAGCAGGGCTTACACAGAGTCAAGGCCTTTCCTGCTCCTCTGCCCACCAGCGAGGGCTGATGGGGCACAAGAAGGTGTGAGGGGACACAGCTGGGCCAGTGACCCCAACTGACCAAAGGGGTGCCCCACACCATACGACCTCATGCTCAGCCACATAAAAGCTGGGGGCAGAGAAAGGAAGGGGTGGAATATTTGGAGTGGCAGCATTTCTATTCCCAAGTAACCATCACATACGATGGAGCCCTGCTCCCTTGGAGACAGCTGAACACCTGCTTGCCCATGGGAAGTGGCGAATGAATTCCTCATTTTGATTTCCTTGCATGTGTGGCTTTTGCTTTACCTATTAAACTGTCTTAATCTCAGCACGAGTTTTCTCACTTCTACCTTTCCGATTCTCTTCCCCATCCCACCACAGAGGGAGTGGGCAAACAGCTGTGTGGGGCTTAGTTGCTTGCTAGGGTTAAACCATGACACAGACTTATAAAAGATGTAGCCTAAAATTTCTTTGAGTCACGCACTTTCAAACCTTCATGGTGTCATTAAAGAGATATATATATATATATACACACACACAAGAAATAATACGAACATGAAATCCTAACATGCATGACAAAGCAAATTACATACCACAGACTCCATATCATGAAGCGTTATTGGTTTCTGGAGCATCATCTTGTAAAAAGGACGAATGAAAAAGGCTTTAAAGAAGAACAAATAAATTGAACCGTATGTAACTTAGAATTAAAAATATATGCAACATTAATCTAAATATCACAGTACCCAAAATAAATACTAACCATCCAAAAGTTTGCCATGGTAAACAGCCATTCCAGCTACACGACCTATAAACTTGAAGTAAGAGAGATGATCTTCATTGCAAAGTCCAGAGTTTGGATTGATCTGCAGAGTATAGTTGTCTCTGAAGTTGAGGAAAGGAGCAGAGAAGGGAAAGAAAAACAAAATGTCGCACCCACATTTGAAGATTTGAAAGACATCACTGATTAAATTAGGTATTACTTTTCACGAAGTTGAAAAAATATTTGGGCTAAAAAATTACTAATCTAGTATTAAACAATGTTCAGCAGAAGATTCTATTAGCATAGCAGAAAGAGCACTATTGAAACACCAGAAACTACCTTTCTAAGTTAGATATATCAAAGAGAAGGAACGAACTCCTATTAATTTGAAAGTAGTCAGAATAACATTCTCCACATTATTTGTTAAACATTGCCTCTTCCGTAAGTGGTAGGTGGTTGCAAGTGTATGCTTGTCTATACGGTGATGATATGGCTTATGTTAGACTGAAAAGAAAATATAGATACTGTCTCCACATTATTGTTCTGTCAAACAAAGAACTAGGTGCATAAAATTGCAGTTATTAACAACTAAACCCTCCTTTACATTTTAAGGGGGGGCCCGAAAAAGTAATAACTCCATTCTTAAAGGAGATAGGAGAAATACAATCAATGTGCTTTCCCTAACTAATCTTCATGTCTTCAAGACTTGTCTTACTTACGTAGCTGAATATTCAAACAATCCATAATAAGGATTAAACATTTCTTTAGAGAGAAGGAAGAACCATTCTCTGGCCACTCCTCCGTAGTCTAAACCTTTTTCACCATCAAATTCAATCCAAAGTCTTGCTTTAAGGAAATCCGCTCTCTTTACAGCTATGATTCTTCTATAAGAATCTTCAAGGATTGTTGTGCGATGAATTTTCATTTCAAATCTATTCGGAATATCACTCTAAAAAAAAGAAAACAGAATAACACAACAAAAAACATTTTCTTTTAGTCTTGCAGAGTATGCAAATTCTGTAAACAGACAAAGAATAGTACAAAGCCCTTTCTAAAGTAATTTGGAAACAGATACATTATGATTGACAAGAGGTTCTGTACACCTACAAATTCAATGAGCATGGAGAGTTTCAGATACTAAGTTCTATTTCATACTAAGAAAATGGGGTTAAAATAAGTTCTGAGCATATGCTCAGTTGTTCTGTATGCAGCAAAGCATGGAATCATTTTAACACTGAAAATTCATACTATAAGCTTGATTAAAAAGATCAACTCAGAGATTATAAACAAATCATTTTGGAACAATTTTATCTGATTTATGTCATCTTCCAGTTCAATATTCTAACTATAAAGGACAGATATCCTTACTTAAGGCATAAATGATAAAGAAGTATTCCTACAATATTAAAATAAAAATCAGTCCACTCAAAATTTGTAGTTACAGGAAAAAAAATCACAAGGTTCATATTTACTAACATACAGGAAAATATTTAAATAAAAATATCCAGGGAGCTCATATTTACTGCTGAGCTCTCAGCAGTAATAAATAACACTTTGCTGAATCATTAAATCATTATGAGAACAGGATGATGCAATGGAACTCAATATATTTCATATTTCAAAGAACAACTCAAGCACTGGGTAGAAATAATGAGTTTTTGAATGTAGAAATATTTAACAAACTACTCTTAAGAGCAGATGTTCAGATATGTTTCCTTCTTATTTCATTATACTCTTAAAAAAAATAGAATGCTGCATTTAAATGTAATGCCTGTTTATATCCAACAACAGCTTGATCCAAACTACAAAAAAAAAACCAACACCCTAATTACTTGAGGCTGGGGAGCACATTATCTATCTTTTTCGAAGTTGCAAAATACTGTACAATATTACACATCTGATTTATGTGGTAACTGGAATAGACAGGTCTTTTTCTTCATATCAGAAAGCAGTAAGTATCCCTAAATCTAAATAAATAAATAAATATATAAATAAAATATACTCCTAGGTTTAGTGCAAATCAACGGATTCCTATGTTGGCAGTCTAAAATCAACTCTGAGAAGTTCTATTTCCATATTCCAAGTTCCAAAAACTTTTATATACTAGACCAATAATTTTCAAACCTTGCTGTTACCAGTCTCCTTCATGACTTCTTTAACCTTTTAGAATTTCTACTTTACCAGTTAGATTACTTGCAGTCTCATCGCCGCATGAAGTCACAAACCCAGTTGTTGGATTAAAAGCTTAACTGTTGCCAAGTTGTTGCTTCACAAACGTACTTGCAATGAGACAATAAATTCACCTTCCCTAAGCAAAGTTGCAAAGTTCAATTCTCTTCACGGTAACCTAGGCTTTCCTTTCCTTAGTGGCATAAGTTTCTAAACATTCAGCTGGATTCCTATTCATTACTAACCTGTTTCTTCAATTTCTTTCTGAAGAACTCATACTTCCGCTTATAGTCCCTGGAGTAAGGCACAGCCTTTGGAGAAAAATAAAATATATTTTTTTAAAAAGTGGCTGAGATACTCTAACAATCAATGTAACATGAACTAGTCTGTATTTGTGAAACAGAGGCAATGCATTTACGTTCTCAGGAAAGAAGGAATACATGTTTTAGTAAGTGTCACGGGAGACGTTCAATTTACAAATAAATGGACAGTTCAAAACATTGTGAATGAAGAGTACTTCAGATCATTTGCTCCAGTCAGTTCCATAGAATTTACCCTGTACTCTACCACCAGATGATGTGACTGACTAAGATCACTGACCGGCCCAGATCAAAGTGACCAAAATGCCTTCGGTGACTTACATAACACATAGTCTCTCCTTCCTGTATCATGAGAGACCTGGCTACAAACACCTCTATTTTCCATGGACAGAGAAGGTTGTTTACATATGTGGGCTATTAATAAACACAGCTATCAGTTGAACACTAAAACCCATCTATAATTATAATGCATACCATCTTTGCAATTAGCCCTGGTAATTTTGCACTTGAGATTAAGTATCAAGGCTAGGTAATTATTTTTCAATTGAAAATTAATTTCATTTCTTTTAAAAGCCATTTTATTTTTTTCTTCTCTTTTTTTCAGCCTTACTTCATGAATTGAGCTAGTTTTATTTTGGACACTGTCATTAAAAATACATAAAATTTCTTACACACTTACCCCCAGTCTATAAGGAAACTTTCTTACTACTCTGGGAACTGATTTTTCTTTCCTGCATTTAAAGACCATTTCCACAGAACGGTCTCTAAACAGTCTTGAAAACAAAATAAAAGTGCTCGTTCAAATACCCTAAAAGTTTCGTCGTCTAGACTGAGTACCAGATAAATGACAGGAGTTTGTTAGATACTATTAACAATATTCTTGAAAAATATGTAAAGCTACTTAAGGAAAGCTTACTGGTCCAGTTATTGCCACACTCTGCAGTCGAGGATCCTCCCATTGTGTTTTCTTTGTATCTGCAAGACATTCTTTTTTAATTAGGTACATTAACTTAGATAATATTCAGAAATAAAATGATGAGCAGGGGAAGGCTACTGCATTGTACATACTGTGGTTAATGAAGAATATTCTTCCATCAGTGTGGGTTCTCTCTTCCCACCCTGGCTGTAAGAAGGAGACAATTTCATTATGAATTTCTTATCGCATAGTTTGCAAAGAACTCAACATGATCTGCAATCGAGCTCATTCCCTCCCTCCATGTACTCTCAAGCACTGCTATTCAAAATAGAGTATTCTGAGTATTTAAAAAAAAAAAAAGGCTACATTTTCTCATGTGCAAGTTTTGACAGTGCTAATTTCAGTATTTAAATTGTTGTATCTGCAAACCAAGTATAGAACTATTTACTCACCGGTAATGGGCCCAGGTCTACTGGATCTAGGGAAGTCTTTCTCCTCGGATGAGCAGAAATTTTCAGTCTTGGATCCTCCTTTGGAAACATAACAAGCAGCATGTTAAAATCTTTGTTGTTCTGTTTTCTTATTTTCTTTCCTCCTTATTGATGATTGTGTAAAAAATATGCCCATTACCAATAACTGTTGCGTATTCTGCAATATATATATTTTTATATATATACACACACACACATATATATACACATATATGTATCCCTCATTCAATTCAGTTTTAGTGTAATTGCACCAAATTACTCTTTCCACACACTTCTGGCATACCCTGTGCTTTCTGAATTTGGTAGCTGGTTTTTTCATGGATTGTGTTGGGTGTTTTTTTTGGGCGAGGAGGGTAGTGGTACAAAGAAGGTGTTCTGTTAATGAGGTCTTTCCATAATCGCTAAGAAATGAATATTCAGTTTGAATCAGTTTAATATATTTCTGTGTTTCTCTTTCACCTAACAGTGGCACGGATCTACTCTCTAAATGCTACAGTCCCTCTGTTAGCACTGCCCAGTGGCGTGCAGTGCCCCTCTGTGGAACAACTCCCTCATCCATACTGTAGCTGCACCCAGTCTGCTTTCTTAAGAACTCAGAGAAATCTGCCTTGTGTACTGTACCACGTGATAAATTCAAGGTAATGGATTTCCTGTTGAAGGTAAGTTCACAAAACTGATTTCCGTTAATGGCAGATACAAGCTATCACATTTTTACAGCTGAGACAGAAGTGTCATTTAGGAGATGCTTTACACCTGTGAAACAGACTCCTCTATACATCAGTATCTTCCTCCTTTCAAGCTGAAGTTTCAAGAATCAATACAGTTTGTAAAATTAGTAGGTTCTACTCATGACATATTTGGAATTACTACATTTTTATTACTTATGTTCCTTAGCAGACTTGACAAGGCTACATGGGCACTGAAGAAATCTACAGAAGCTTGCTGAAAGCAGCAGAGCTTTGACTTGAGGACAACTAGAATTCTGATCCAGGAGAGCCGCTTTCTTTTACCCATGTTGTAGTTTTGGTATTGTGGTCAATAAAGAATGCTCTCCCATTCGGTGCATGCCGGACTTCCCAGCCTTTAGGGAGAAATCCTTGCTCCATTTCAGGCTGCTGCTGTGAAGACTGCTGTGATGAATCACTTGATGTTGCTTGGGGTTGTCTTCCTATAGTAACACTTTGCGCAGCTGACACCTGAGCTGTTTCCGTAGCAATCTATGGTAAATAATAAAAATTAAAAAATCAAATTAAGGCCCTATAGAGCAATATATTTTTTTCCTATCACGCTGTATTTTTTACTCCTGAAAGCAGTTTCATAAAGTGAGCGCTAGACAGTACATAGATTTGTTCAGTTTACCATCAACATTGACCGCCAATCACAGATTATGCTACCGAGGTGAAAAGTCTTTCAGGCCTCTCAATCAGCTACCACCGTCCAGGGGGCTTCTTGGTACGTTAAGAGTAGATTGACTTGCCATAAATATTACTATTCCTTGTCACTGGGTCCTCTCAGATTCTTTACGTAGTTCCTTTACCTGCTTTTTGCATAGCTACTTCAATGAGGTCTCTAAACTCTACTTCTGTTATGTGATATGTTTAAAAGTTTCAATGAATGGAAACATTGATAAATTAGAAGACAGACAGTACCTGTACAACTGGCTTTATCCAGGTAGTGGTTCTAGAATTGTGATCTATGTAATATGACCTCCCTTTTTCATCTTGTCGTTCTTCCCAGCCTGGGGGTAATCCAGATGAAGTAGGCAGTAACTAAGTATCAGTGACAATAAAAAAAACCAACCAGTTAAAACTATGAAACTGACTGTGAGAAGGCTCTCCTCCGTTGAATTAATACAAAGCTATAAAACCAAAACATTCACAATTTTCACAAACTGGACAAAATAGAAAACCAGTATTTAAGTCCTTACTGAATAGTACAAAGTAACAGATGGAGGGGAGGATTTTGTGGTTGTTTGTGGGTTTTGGGTCTGTTTGGTTGTTTTTGGGGGTTGTTTGTGTGTTTTTTAATAATTCAAGCTCCTCATCTAAAAGGATTCAATTATATTCCTGGTTGAGAGATGGCTGATACAGCCTAGCACTTCTGGATATGAGCTCATAGGCTGCCGTGTCACCATGCAAACATAATGTAAGTATGGCGGTACAACTTTTAATTAAAAAGCAAACAGTTTGAAAAAACAAAACTCTTCATGGAAAGACTGCTTCCATCTGCAGGCTCTATCCATGCATTAAGCTAATGTTAAACCCAAAACACAGAGCTGCAACATGAAAGCTTCACAACTGAACTCCCATCTTGCTCGACTGAACTGTAACTTTGTCAGGACAGCTGTCAGAAGCAGAAGGCCAAATCTCATTTAAAATGTCAGCACATAATACATCGTTAAAAAAGTAAGTTTTACATTAAGAAAATCTGTCAGCTTCTTTGCTACACAAGTCTGTGTTTTCTGAAAAAAACATACCACTGGATGTGCCGGCTGCTCTTCAGGTCTGTATGTTTGCAGACTACCTCTTCTGCTGGAATGGTTCTAGTAGTGGTGAAGAAGAACTACATGTTAGCTATTATTACAGCTTTAAGGAAGGCAGCGAACAGTCAACAACGGTTACTACACTTAAACGATTACAGTTTTCATCCTGAACTTATTTGTTTGAAATGTCGATTTAGTCCAGTAGTTTTCAAACTCCTGTTTTAACACTGCTAGAAACATTAAGTTCACGGTGTTCATTATAACGTTAAAACAGAAGAATCCAAAGGCCTGCAAAAGTTTTAAAAACCCTAACCACATATTTTGGTACAGAAAACAGATTAATTGCAACCAGCTGCATTATAACTGAATTTACAGTATAAAAATTTACTGCTTTATCTTGTCAGTAGAGCTAACAACTTTACAGAAAGATTAGGTTAATAATACCAAGATATGATATGAGAGTCTGATACATCCCGTTTGAGAAAAGTAATTCAATTCTTGGACTTCCCACAAGCACCCACTTCTCTGCCTAGGGCCACAATTAGATCCTATCTGCTACAATTAAGCAACTGTATTTCATTTTGCTACAGCACTTCCTCTAATATTTGAAGAATTTTCCCCATCTATATACCCTTTCAGGATACTTCAAAGAAAAAGCATGATAAAGTTTTTGAATTTATTTGGGGGGATGAGGGAGGTGAAGGGAGGCAAGACTGCCATTCTAGTTGGCTCTTGCAAATAATCTGAACATCTACTTCTTCTTTTCCTTAGGCTACCTAAGCAAATTGAAGTAACAGTTTTCTTGCAAACTACAGGATTCTTAAGAGCAGAGATCAAGTCTTGTTACTCTCCCTTTGCTGCTTCCAGCAATGCTAGTGATGCTTCTGTACAAACTAAGAAAAACATTGCCATTCCAAACGTAGATTTGGAATTGATTTTCTCAGCATCACAATAGCCAATTATTTTATTCTCTGTACAAACTAAGAAAAACATAATCAATTCCAAATCTACGTTTGGAATGGCATTCTCAGCATCACAATAGCCAATTATTTTATTTAAACACCAAAAATCTTAGACTAGATGGTCACTCAGCTCTATATGCTTTACTCAATGAGCACTGCATTTCTCAAGTCACATATCAGCTTTCAAGACCATTTGTGGAGCTCAGCTTTCACAAGACAGCGAGCTTATTTAATTGCTTGCTACCACAAAAAAAAAAAAAAAAAAAAATGCTCATTCCTTGGTATG